GGTTGGAGCGGCAGCCTGCGCACCAAAAGCGCAGGTTTGGTTCCCCGTCAGGGCACATACCTGGGTTGCAGATTCCATCCCGTCACAGCGTGTATGGGAGGCAACCAATGGATATTTCTCTCTCCCCATTCCCCTCTCTCTGGGAAAAAAAAAAATCAATAAAAACATCCTCAGGTGAGGATTTTAAAAAATTAAAAAATAAATGTAGATATTATCAAATGGAGCAGTTTGGGTGGGAGATTGATAGTAATAACAATGCTTTGATTTAGTTAATAAACATTTCAACTTCAGAACCCCTTCCAAAGGTTTCTTAAAAGTACCAAAGAGCAAATAGAAAGAAAGAGATTATAAGGCAAAAATATAAAAGAACACTAAGAAGGAACTAAAGGATGGTGAATACTTTTGCCCCAAAGGCATTTGCCAAACCTAGAAAAACTGAGCTTAAGTTTTATGACCCCCACCCCCTCGTAAAGGAGATCCATTCCCCATAAAACTGGAACCCCAAAGATCTACACCCTCAGGGTAGAGAGAAAGAGAAGAAAACTTACCCCACTCCAATCTACTCCATTTCCAGGGGGCCTCAAGAAAAGTTGTCTTGGAAGTTAACAGGGAAATGGAAAGAAAAAAACTTTCGTTACAGGTTGTAACCACAAACTTCCTGCCTTACACATAAGCGTCCCTCATTCCACCCACGCAGTTCAAACCACTGCCAGCTCAGGTGAAAGCAGCCCTGGGCTGGTAATGCACTTACCTGCCTGGAAGAAGTGGATGCAACATTTTTCTGGAGGAATTTCCATAAAAAATTTTCAAGGAAAAGTAGCAGCTCACAGTAAAAATGAGCAAAGCATGAAGGAAACAAGGCACCATGAGGGAGTCCCAACAAAAACAATACACAAGAGGCCTATTAAAAAAATACTGAAAATTTCAAAGTTATTTTAGAGAACTATCCTTACTCTAAGAAATATATGACTCACTTTTAAATATATATCAAAATGGAAAACTCTAAAAATACAATGTAACAGGGTTTTCTTTAATGAGCAAAGAAAATTTCTAGCAATGAAAACCTTAGTCCTAATAGTTGAAATCAGCAGCTGATTATCTCAATTCTAACAGATTAGATGAGGAGAGAACTCATGGGCTGGACGAGAAATTGGAAGAAACCATTCAGAACACGGTCGTGCGTTGCTTAATGACAGGGATACTGAGACAAGCGTCGCCTGGCGATTTCGTCGCTGCGCAGACGGCGGAGCGAACTGACAGGCCCCGGGGGCGC